CGTTGATATACTGTGGAATTGCTGTAAGTCTCCCGCTCCCGTACAATAATGCCATCTAAGCACTCAGTTAACAGATACACTTTTCAGGTCTCAAGATGCTGGTACCAGCACATGACCTTCCAACTTGTGACGCTCTTCCGCGGCGGCCTCATCTCCCTCATCTTCAAGAAGACGCTCAGCCTCGATGCTTCCATCATCAAGGACTCGGCCCCTGTAACGCTCATGAGCGTTGACATCGAGAACATTGCCGTGTCCATGACCTTTATCCACGACGTCTGGGCGGCGGCCATTGAACTCCCAGTTGGAGTGTATCTGTTGTACCGACAGGTTGGCCCGCCTTGTTTTCTCCTGCTCATCCCAGGCCTGGGTAAGTTCTGTCCTATCTTGTCTTTCCAACACCTTGTTCTGTTTTTCTCAAAGATGCTACGAACATACTAACACATGTGTCAGTCTGCACTGCTCTCACAACCAAGCTCTCCACGCGAATGGCACCGGCACGCGTGGCATGGAACCACGGCGTGCAGAAGCGTGTCTCCATCACCTCGTCCATGCTCACGCAGATTAAGGGCATCAAGATGATGGGCCTAACGGACCACTTCTCCGACATCATCCAGAAACTACGCGTCTCGGAGCTGAAGCTCTCCACCAAGTTCAGAATTCTCGTCACCATTCTGAGTGTCATCGGTATATCCTCCCATCCTACCGAATTCGGTCCCTGAGCAAGAGAAAATACTGAAACGAAGTGTCTCCTTCCAGCCGGAGTCGCACAGCAATTCACCCCAATCGTCATCATCGCCGCCGCCGTCTTCTGGACGAGAGCGGAGCAAGGCCTTACCATCGCCGAGGCGTTTACGGCTCTATCCATCATCGTGCTTGTATCGCAGCCCCTCATCAAGCTCATCTCGTCCATTATGCAGCTGATGGGAGCCTTTGGCTGCTTCACGCGCATCCAAGAGTTTCTCCTCTTGGATGAGATTGTCGACCAGCGACAGATCATCACGGGCTCTTCCAAGGCCTCTCTGGACTCTGACCGTGCGCTGCCTTGTAGTATTCACGGCGGCTCCGATTTGCAGCCTCTAACTCCGCGGGCCATCCAGCTGGCAAATGATGATGGAATTGAGCTTGGGTCTCTGAGGGGGACGGATCGAACCTCCGTCACCTCAGGCGACACCAGCAAGCCAATGGTCACCATAAGTGATGCGACACTGATTTTGAAAGACAGCACCGAGATTTTGAGGAACGTATCACTCGCCCTCCGACAAGCTACCATTTCAATTCTCGTCGGACGCGTAGGCTGCGGAAAGTCATCGCTACTGAAAGCCATACTAGGAGAAACCGGCATCTCGACCGGCAGCATTACGCTTCACACTTCGTCCGTCGCCTTTTGCGACCAGTCCGCCTGGCTACGCAACGTTTCCATCAAGGAAAATATCATCGGCCAGACATCTTTCAATCAGGCCTGGTTCTCAGCCGTTGTGTACGCCTGCACGCTCGATGAGGATATTGCGCTGTTCCCCGAGGCCGAGGATACCATTGTCGGCACGGGTGGTGTAGCTCTAAGCGGTGGTCAGAAGCAGAGAGTGGTGAGTTCTGCTGACTTGCCGATATGAGCAGTAATGTTGCGTTCGAACTGATTGACTCACGCGGAATTGTAACAGGCTTTGGCCCGCGCCGTCTACTCGCGCAGGAAACTGCTTCTACTAGACGACGTCTTTAGCGGCCTTGACAACTCAACGTCTAAGGCTGTCTTCCGGCGTCTTCTAGGTCTAGATGGGCTTCTACGTCAAACGGGCATGACGGTGTTTCTCGCAACTAATCATGGTGAGTCTACCACGTAATAGGCCAGTGCCCAAGCTGGGTGACTGACAAGCCCGTAGTCAACTTCCTCCGCTCTGCAGACTATATCACCATGATTCAAGATGGCACCATTCTCCATAATCAAATCTCTTTCGACTCTATCCCGCGCTCCGCATGGGGTCATCTCGTTGAGGAAGAGACCAAAGGCAAAGGCACCGGAGAGGATGTTGAACCGACCGAGGGTCTCGCAAAAGACTCAAAGCCCACTAGAGCAGATCGGCCCGTCGCCGTCGCGCCCGGAGCCACGGAGGCCGAGTTGACAAGGCAGACGGGTGACACCGAATGCTACGGGATGTACCTCAACTCTATCGGATGGCCCATCTTGCTTGTGTTTCTCATCCTGAATGTCTTGTTTGTTGCTTTCACAAAGATGCCTCGTTAGTGTCCCTGCTTTTGTTCAAACTTCTTCCCATATGAAAGGAGCTGCATTGCTAATTCGGGTTGGTAGAAATTTGGTTACGGATCTGGACTGAACACGGCACGAACGACCGGCCGGCCATGTATTTTGGAATCTATGTCGTGTTTGGTCTCCTCTGCATCGTTCTCAACGGTGTAGCACTAGGGTAAGCCTCCGGACTACGCCTCATACAACGATTTCATGTTACTGACTATTCAAGTTTCTGGATGCTCCTCGCCATCCCCCGATCCGCAAATCACCTCCACCAAACTCTCCTCAAAGCAGTTCTCGCGTAAGGACCATCTCACCCCCAAGCCCCTGAACGGCCTCCTTCGCATCTCTGTTCGTCAATGACTAACCCATCTCAAGCGCACCCCTCTACTTCTTCACAACAACAGACAGCGGCGTAACCCTCAACCGCTTCAGCCAAGACATGGCCCTCATAGACCACCGCGTCCCCATCTCCGCCTGGGCCACCATCCACAGCTTCCTCACCGTCCTCGCCGAGACCGCCATCATCGCCACCGGAAGCTCCTACATCGCCGCCCTCATCCCCCCGTCCTTTCTCGCCCTCTACCTCTTGCAAAAGTACTACCTCCGCACCTCCCGTCAGCTCCGCCACATCGACCTCGACGCAAAATCCCCGCTCTTCACCCACTTCTCCGAGGTCCTGGCAGGCCTACCCACCATCCGCGCCTTTGCCTGGTCGTCCGCCATGCTCCGCGAGAACCACGCGCTGCTCGACGCCTCGCAGAGGCCGTATTACCTTTTTTTCTGCGTCCAGCGCTGGCTCAACGTCGTGCTGGACCTGTTTATCGCAGGCATGGCTGTCGTTCTCGTGGCGTTTGCGCTGTACTTTACGAATGCCACGACCATGGGCGCCATTGGTCTCGCCATGGTGAATATCATCAACTTCAATCAGACGCTGGGCGACTTTATCGAGATGTGGACCATGTTGGAGACGAGCCTTGGTGCTATTGCGAGGTTGAAGTATTTTGTGCGGTATACCCCGCGCGAGGATCGTGACGGCGAGACGGATGAGATGCCGCCGGCATGGCCTGGGAGTGGGAAGATTGAGATTGAGAACGTGACGGCTGCTTATAGGTAAGTGTTGCATTGTGAGCCCTATACGGAAGCTTGGAGTGAGCTAACATCCGATCCAGCGACGAAACTGACCCTGTTATACGAAATGTATCGCTGACAATACTACCGGGTCAGAAGGTTGGTATATGCGGTCGCTCCGGCTCCGGAAAATCCTCTCTTCTCCTCACATTTCTCCGTCTTCTTGATCTCAAATCTGGAGAAGAAGGAGGAGGAGGAGAGAGAGACCTCAAAATTGCCTCTCATTCCCTCCTAACCCTCCCCCGCTCCGCCATCCGCACGTCCCTCACCACACTCCCACAGGATCCCGTTCTCTTGCCCGGCACCGTCCGCGAGAACCTCGATCCCGGAGGCCACACCCCCGACGCGGATCTGATTTCCGCCCTGCGCAAGATGAAGGTTTGGGAACCCATCGAAGCGCGGGGTGGTCTCGACGTGGAAATGTCCGCGACGGGGCTGAGCTCGGGACAGAAGCAGCTATTTTGCCTCGCGAGGGCGGTGCTGAGGACGCAGTCGCGGGGGGCAAGTATTGTGTTGCTTGACGAGGCGACGAGCAACGTTGATCATGCTACTGATGAGGAGGTTAGAAAGGTGTTGGACGAGGAGCTTGGGGAGGCGGGCGTTACTGTTGTTGAGGTCGCGCATCGGTTGGAGGCCATTGTTGGGTATGATGTCGTTGTTGTGATGCATGAGGGTAGAGTGGTGGAGGTTGGTAGTCCGGAGGAGTTGATGGGGCGGGCATCGCGGTTTAGGAGTCTTTGGGATAGTCGGGGAGCTTGAGGGCGGTGAGACTTCATCGTCAAGCATCTACTCTAATGGGGAGATCTCATCATAGAAATAAGGAAATTATAGAATAGTCTCAAGTAAAAGTAATGATGTCGACGAAACCTACGCCGACAAATCTTGACCCCTTCTGATGTCGTTTAAGGGCCTGCCTGTGTATTAATTATCACATCAAGTAATACATTCCTGAAAATGAAAATAAGAAGCAACAGCCCTTCAAAGTTGGGACTTCCTCGAAAGCCGGGTACCCTAGTATCGCAAGATGTCCACGTGGGGGGCCAAGAACGTGTCCCTTCTCGTGAGACTCGACATACGCGGTCTTCTCGCCCCCGTTCCACTCATAGATTACAACGGTGGGATATGGCACAACTCCAATCATTGACTGACAGTGAAACATCTACATTTGGGGGAAGGGGCTTGCGCGAAGGTGATTTGCATCCCAGCATGAATTTTTCACCGCGTCCAGTCCGCCCATGGATCTACTCAAAATAGGTTTACACATTCGTACCATAACAATTGACTTTCTAAAGGATGGCTAGAGGGCAATACCACTCTGGTGATGACGATTTCTAACAAAAAGAATCCACACGTATCGGACGGTAGAAATCGTCGGCGGCATGGCGTAGAGAGGGCTGGGGCGGATCTTCAACGGATCACATCTTATTTTCAAATCCAAATCCACGTATGCATGAAAACAATCAATGTTTTCTTTCCGAGTATGAATAAGGTAGATCTGGTTTCTTCCAGTCTATCACAGGCAGAGAGCACTGAGAGCATGGCACCTGATACTAAACAACAGCACCAATGAAGCCAGTAAGAGAAAACAACCTTGCGTGTTAATCTCCTCACGCTGTCCTATTCCCCCTTCTGCTATTCCTCGCCTGGCGTTGCCCCTATGCCACGGAGACGGAGACGTCACCGACAAAGGGGAAATGTCAACAAGAGGCGGGGCCACCGCCAGTCTCCCATCACCGAGCAATGTCCAAGGTCGGATCGGGCTCTAGCGGGGAAAGAGACAAGAGGAATAGCAAGTGCCAAGGGTGCAATGGCCGAAAGAACGGGCGAATGATGCGCGCTCGTCGCCCAACATGTGTGCCCAAAGTAGTTCGCAGTTGCGATCGAGTGTTGCCTCATTTCGAAGGGGGGGCTTTTGAAACCAGAGAGAGTGTGTGTGTGCCTCGCTCGCCCCTGGCTAAGCGCCCAGTGTGTGCCGTGGAAAATGCCCTTTGGGCAAAAGTGTATTATGAACTCATAGCGGAATATTGCTATACTTTTTGGTACAATTGAAGATTGGTAAATAACGATGTTCGTCCCATAGGTGGATAGATATCTGTCGCGGGGGCAAGAATTCATAGACCAAGTAAAAGAGACGTAACTCATAACCTCGAGAGATACCTCGAATATACCAACAAGATCCATGTGCCTAGATCATGTACAATGCCGCGAGGCTTAGCTTTGGGTTTTCCGTACACAGTAGAAAAGATGGGTATTTTGAGCTTGAGAAGATTGCGCAACGCCTCCCGATGGTAGCCAACCAGGCAATCGTGAAGCACCAAGACAACCCCCGCTGTTTTAATAAGAGAAAAATCGAAGAAATCAAACGCCTTGAAAAGAAGACCACCGAGCCGTGAGGCTTTTCCATCTTGTCCAGCCGCGAGGCTCTCCGTCTTGGGACCGCCAATGGCCGTTAGTTCGCACAACCGGATTACATGAAGCTGCTCTTCGTCATGGCTCGTAAATCCAATCCCGTGGTGCTGTATGTTCCCGTCAGGATAAAACGTTATCGAGCCAACCTTTGAGCCTTGTAAAATCCTGTGGCGGTCGTGTAACCGATAAATTTTACTCCACCGCAATTTTCAGACACGCTCTTGTTGCCATCCTTAGTTATTTGTTCATATACGCTTAGAGCGGTGTTTTTCGAGCCTAGCATTGAAGCTCCCGAGGCGCAGTTTCTTTTGTTGTGCATACGCAGAATCATTTAGTGTCGATGCCGACGAGAACTCTCGTGTCCATGCCGGTGGCTATGTGAGTGACCATGCCGGTGAGAATGGTGGCCTTCTCTGTGCCGGGACGACGAGCCACTCCGTTCCAATTCACGTTCCATCTCTTCAACTCGTGATCTGTACCCTCGTACAATCTCTTTGATATGCCTTATTCGATCAAAGTCGAGCTCCAACTCGTCAAGTTGCCGGAGAAGCTCGTGATACCGCTGGATCTCGGCGTCAGCGCCCTCGATGAGGTTGCCAGCTCGGTCAAATTGGGCCATGGTGAACATCTGGCTTTGTTCGCTAAGGTAGATGATCTGTTGTTCGATCTGGTTCATGACCCGGTCAAAGTACCGTCCTAGAGCTGCCAATGAGGTGCTGTCCAGCAGCAGCAGGCCTTGGCTTGACGCGCGACTTGCTGCTCGCGACGAATTCGAGCCGCCTCCGCCTGTCCCTTGGCCCAGTGCCGCTTGTCCTTGACGCAGTAGCTGTATCTCTTCATAGCTCAACCCTAATTGCGTGTCCGGCACTGCATTGGCTTGGGTGGTCGACATGGCTCGGTGCAGCGCACCGTGCGCAGCTGGGTGAAAGCAAGACTTGCGGTTGTGGTTGACTTCGTTGCGCGGTGGGATTATCTATGTTCGATGATGGATGATTGCCGTGCGGCACTACGACGGCGGCGACGAGACTCGGGGTATTGTCCCTGTCGGAGGTGGGGTTCGAGGAAGAGGAGGGGTTTTGACGACAGTCGGGGGCGAAGGCGAGAGGTGCAGCTGCGGATGCGAGCGCGACGAATAGCATGGGCTGGGGCTCGGAGCCGGCAAGTGGTGTAGCCTTTGTTTGGGCGATGGTAACGCGCGCAAAGTCATGATATCGTAGAGCCAACGGAGATCATTGCTGTTAGATCGGGCTGCGAGCTCAGCGCGCGGGCGAATTGAGTTCAGACTGGCCAAGGACTATTACGATAACTGTGGCTTCGGTGATGTCGCAACGGGTAGAGTGTATCGTCGTATTGTTCGAAACCATGGATAGAATCGGATCGAAGGAGTGTCGTCGAAGTGTTCGAATGGGCGGGGGGAAGGCTAAGGGAGAGGTGTACAGAAGGAAAGGGGAGGTGAAGGAGAGAGAGAGAGAAGCAGTGTTCGAAGTTGGGGATTTTTTGGTGATACACAACCGGTGAGTCCGCACCCTCCACCGCCGCGATGCCTTGCTAGTCGCTGCTACCCGCACAGGTCTCGGTTCAGGTCACCAAGGCTCAGACCCAGACCAGGTCTCGGCCGCTTTGACTTGTTGGGGAGAAAACAGCGCAAAGGCGCCGTCGCAAAGGACAGGCAAACGAGATGGTCCCTGGTGACGGAACACAGCTTCTGGCACAGAAAGATTTGATGTATCCAGAACGTGGGAGGTGGTTTCTTTTTCCCCTGCGCAATGGGGGAAAGCTCGGTATCAGCTGACGGTCGATCTCTGGGGCGCTATAGCAGCTAGCAGCAGCGACAATGTAGGAACACTGCTCTGGAGGTCGCAAAAAGCAATCTTGGCGGGAGGTGGCTGCAAGGCTAAGAATGTTCGGTAGGCAATCAATGGATGATCCTGGCAAAGCAGTGACGGGAATTGAGCCGGCAAGGAGTCTGTAACCGAAGATTGTTGGTTGCCAGCCTTATTGTCTGTCAGTCTCTCGTTCCGTTCCAAAGTCCCAGTCGCGAATCGTGAGGTTAGGTAAGGTAGTGCACGCGGCAGACAGGAGCGGAGAGTAAGTGGTGTGTGGATGGACAGGAACCGTGTGGCATCCCTCGGTCGATATCGTTAATTCAAGACAAGCGCCGTGTTTCCGCCGTGGTGGTATTGCAAGATTATTGGCCTTCCTATTTGGACGGAGGGCTGCTGGGCTCGTGATGATGGGTTCCGAGAGGGTGTGATGGGGGTCGAAATCGCTATCTACTACCTCGGAGAAGCCCAAGACACCCGCGGCTCGATGAACGCTATTGCTAGGGATGGTTCGAAAGATGGGTAGGTAATTGAGGGGTCGAGAGACAGGTGATTGTGATGGCGATGGCGATGGCGATGCGACGAGCGGACGAAGGGAGGGGAGCCGATGACGGATGGCACCAGACTTATGAGCGAGCGAGAGCAAGACAAAGGCTATCACCTATGTAGGCGAGGTGGACGAGTAGGCATGCTGGAGAGCGGATAGGCTTGCTAATTGAGGGACTCATCAAAAGTTGCAAGTTGTCGAAGTTATTGTTGGGTAGTCCCTTACACCGGTAGATGCAGGTGCACGGGGTGACGAGGTACCTTGACCTCCCGCAAATTACCGTGAAGAAGCAAGTACCTGTCTCCCGTGGCTCGGTGTGACGATGATGCGCCGGACATCCAGGTAGGTAGTTGTTTCCCAAAGTTTTGACCTTCACAAACGGCAGGTACCTCACGGCGCATTCCTCCTTCCGCGTCTGTTCACCACCTCAAGTTCCATTGCGCGCGTGATTAACGTTCTCCTTCGCTCGCACAACCTCTACCTTACCTCTACAGTCTCCTTGATTCCATGACACTTCCTTGGTTCTAGATCCCTCCTCATCGCCACAATTGTTTTTTTCGCTCCGGATGCCGTTTTCTGCTCTCCCCGAAATTGAGTTGCCCATCTCACTGCGTTTTCCTTCACTTTGCCCACGACACAAATCCCCGGCCGGCGCAACTAGGCTCGGTCAATAAAGAAACATGGGCCTAAATGGAGCATCCGAACGACTGCAACTCGGCGGTCTGTCGTTTCGAAACCTTGGAACATCGGCCAAGCTACCTGTCCAAAGGCAAGTCTTGCTTTTCCGTGGGGATACCTGAGCGGTCAGTGCCTACCCTGGAGTCCGTCACACTGGGTTCGCTGCCGCAGGGATGGAAGCTTCGAGCGATCCCCGCCGGCATCCCGGGGAATGCGGCTTGGTACGAAATACGGAAGTACGCTTAGACGATACCCTGACTGATCCTCGCCCCGACTATGTACGGATACAAGTTGAGCATTGGACCGGCCGGACAGGTGACATTCCATGCCATCCGCATCCTACCTTGTTCAACCAACCTTCAAAGTTCGATAGGAGAGTCCCTGCCTCTTTTCCGTGCTTCCAACTTCTCGGCAGACCAAATATAACTCATGCTACCTCTACCATGTCACTAGCACCACTATCGTTCGTGCTGATGTCGGCGTGGTCTTTCTTTTTGCCAAAGACACATGTCAAGCTCGACCGGATCAATCACCACAAGGAAATACGTCACATCCCCATCGGCGCAGCCTAAACGAACCGATGCACCAATACGATCGTGCGCCGAAGACGAGGAACATCTGCTGCAGCTCCCGCCCTGTGGGATGCTGCAGCTATGTATGCACATGGTCGCGCCACGAGATTCAACGCAGCAGCGATATGCACATCACATCACGCCTTGCATGATACTTGCCTCAGGTATGGGAACCTTTTCCAACACTTGACAGATTTAAGCCCAAACCTCCGTTCTCATGGACCAGGCTTGTTCGAATATCTCCCCAACACTCAGTGGATTGCTCTCATGTGTCTAACAATAGTGTCGAAGCAGGATACTAGCTGTCAAACACCGCTTTCTTAGCCGTCCTTTGATGTCGTTGGGATTGTAGAACCAAGCCAGAACCGGGCTCAACTTGATATTGGCCATCGGCGTGACGCAAATGGGGCAGTTCCCCATAGGCGCACAAGCAAACGGTCAGCGGTCTGGCGGAATAAACGACTCGGTCTAGAACAAATACCCACGGAACATATTACAACCTAGTCACGGCAATCCGATACCCACAACATACCGACCTAACGGGCCGGAAAAGACAGCACCTTTCGCCGGATGCCGGGCAACAGCGGGTACCCCACGCCGATAGACCCACATATCATCACACCTAACTTTCACCGATCGGGCCCACGGAGCTCCTCCCTCCGTGAGATATACCTTTGAATTCCCAGCGTCTTTCTTCCGTCGCTATCGCATACTCGGACCAAGGGGCAGGACGTCGAAGGCTTCTCGCCTTCTACTTTTGACAGATCCGAGTCTGACAAGATGTCACATATCAGAGAGTAACAGTCTCGCGCCTATACACGCTGGGCTTGCTCGTGGCTTAGGAGAGCATTGCTTTACTAGATACGCGAGGCGCAGATATGGAATGGAGGGCTGCATTTCACAGTGATCGGCATCTAGAACATCGGAGCGGCACACGACCCGAACAGCCGGTACGTTCCCCCCAAGCCAAAGGTAAATCTGGCCAGGGGAGGACTGTGTTTTCCGCTCATTTCGGTCCATCTCATACCGCACCAGACTCTCAGTTCGTACTGTCATGTGGGGTCGGCACGACTACCCTCATTTGCCTCTGCAGGTCACAAATTGATATAAGAAGCTCGTATCTCCGTGCCGATGATGTCGGTAGGTTTCTTGTTAGATTGTCTTCACCGAGCGCCTTTGTTAGGCGAGTGGCTGCTGATAACACCGTAATAATGATGATACGCTCACTCTCAACAGCACTGGCTTGTGTCTCTGCTGTCACCGCAACCATCCTGGAGAATGGCCGCCCAAGAGTAACGAGCTTCACCGATGTGAAGGTGGATCTTGCTCTTGGCGACTTCAAGACGTACGATGCCGATGCCGACGAGATATCGTACAAAGGTCGATGGGACTCCAAGCACATATCTTGGTGGGCGTAAGTGTACCTAAACTTCGTGGAAAATACTCAAAAACTCAGGCTGTGTAGAGCACCGGGCATCAAATTCGGCTTTACCGGTCACGCAGTCGCGGTTACGTTTGGTAATCAGACTATCAACAGTACTCTTGTCGCCTACAGGATCGCCGGTCTAGACTGGATGCACACCAACGTCACGGCGGGCGGTACTCACCAGTTCGTGAGCCCAGAAACTCCAGGCATCGAGCTAGCTGGTCCTGTTAGCCCAGTTACGTTTGAGATGAGGGTGACAAACTGGGCTTATGGAGTCCAAATTGACAAGGTTCATGTGGCTTCTGGAGAACAGCTCGTCAAGATTCCCGACTATCCTCGTCGGGTCGAATTTATTGGTGATAGTCTGTCAGCAGGCATGTATAATACGTACGAGGCGCTCGCGGGATTTGCCTACGGTGTCGGCGCGGGTCTAGGAGACACGGAGTATTCCATTACGGCCTACCCGGGCATATGCGTCGCCGACCAAGACTGTTGGGGCAACCCTCGAGGGCAATCTCACCAATGGTTCTACACATCGGATACGGGCGGTCGGGCGGCCGAGGTATGGGGAGGTATGTGTATTCGGTCTCAAGCAGAGGATCAGGCGCACACAGCCTCTTCAAATCAATCCCAGATCTCTGTAGGGCATAATTTGGAAAATATTGTATTGACGGCAGCGTGTGCAGATGAGTCGCAACCTTGGGACTTCTCCAAAAACCCTTCTGCTGACTTAGCTGTCATCAACCTCGGCACAAACGATGCGAATGCTGCAAACAACGTCACCAAAGCCACCTACGTTGAGCATTACAAGAGACTCATTCAGGGTATTCACGGAAAGTGGCCCGAAGCTCAGGTCATAGTCATGGTACGTCCAACTTGACAGTCAATATCTAGTGCCCACTAAATGCAGCAATAGCAAATGTGGCAAGGCTTTTTCCAAGATGGCAATACGTACGGTCAAAATACCGATCTTCGGGACGAAGTATACAGCGTTTACGAGTACTTCAACTCGGAAGAGTATCTAAGCAACCCTACGACTTGGGATGCTGTCACAAACACCACCGAGCAGACGGGGAAACCGGCGACACCGTTCGTGCATTTCTTCAACACCACGGGCATCCTCCAGCACAATGATATCGCGCCACAGTGGCATCCGACGGATGTCGGTCAGATCAAGGTCGCGAGCCACCTGATACAGTACATCACGTTGAAGCTCGGCTGGCCCCTGTATGCTACCGGACCCGAGTGAGTCTTCCATGCATCGATCTTTCCTTTGCGGATTGTACCTTCTTACGATATGCTTGCATTGTCTTCGGATCATGACGAGGAGGCAAAGTAAAATCCTCTATGCTAACCCCCCACTGACAGGGTATACCATGAGACCCTGTACTGGAACGATCAGTCTAGCTATTAAGACGCCCCTATGAACTGGAGGTTATACAAACGAGAACTCCAAAGATACAAAGTCATGGCGCGGGCAGCCTCGGGCCATACGGCACGTATGTCAAGAAACGCCATCTGTTGTTATAGTCTATAGTACACCTTGATATACCAGCAACTTTCCGAGTTGAAACGCCGCCACTGCAGCCAGGCGAGTCGAAACGCGATGACCCGCACGTCAAGGTGATGACTGTAGTTGACATCAAAAGAAGACTGAAAGCCAAGCTTTGAGCCTCAACAGATCTTTCATGCCAACAGGGGCCCTTGCCCCCGGCGACATCTTACTGTATCGTCACAGAGGATGCTATTCTTGCGTCCGGACGAGACAGCCTCCGACCTCTGTCCCCCGCATCGGGAGAGCCCACTCGGGGGGTTGACAGGTGTCTGGCGCGGATACTGTTTGAGAAGCCTCATGGGTCAGGGGCCAGCCTCACAAGGCTACCCTGAGGGTTAGGAACATATCATGCATCTTGGCCACCACAAACCGCATGGGAAGGCGAGAAAGATGCATCGTCTGACGCCTCGACCCTGCTTGGCTCATCCCACTTCCCTTGACGGATCGAGGCGATGCGCATGAGGCTCGGCTGTCAGATCGTGGGTAGGCTGAACAACTTGAGACCGTGAAGGACTAAGCGATGCCCAGCAACTCGCCTATGAAGATGGGATGCTACGCGTTCAACCCGCTTGACAAGCGGTGGCGGTAAGCTTGTGTCAAGTCTGACTTGGAATACAGACGAAACTTGACGGACTGATGGCAGGTTGTTGACAAGGCGAACGACGGGTCACAGTAAAGTAATGCATGATACGGTAGCAACTTTGAAAGCCGCAATTGGCGACTCGCTTGCAATTTGACCATGACCCAGCTGCTCATCGCTCGCACTTTGCGAGAAGCCAGCCGCCCCTCCCAGGGCCACACGATCCTGTGGAGTGGGTAGACTTTGTTTCTCACCGCCTCAACCCCTTGACGGCTGTCCCGGCTGGCATCATGTATGAGGTGCCGGACGCATGTCGAGGTGAAAGGCCCTGTGGTCATCCGGTTTAGGGTTCGGGGGATTTACGCACTCTATCGACGATCTTTCAACCAGGAGATTCTCGAAACACGTTGCCAAACTGCAAATCCCCGCTACTCAGGGTCTTCTTGCTGCTCCCGCTTTCCCAATACCCTGGCTGGTTATCTCTCCCTTTACCTCACGGAAGCTTCGTTTCCGTGAAGCCCCCTACATCATGATTGATGAACCCAAGCGCCTGTGCGGAGCTGTCGTCCCTTGGGAGGAGTCTTTCTGGAGCCTCGATGGACACCCTCCACTTCCCTAACCACCCCCCTGGTTGAGGATATTCACATTTTTGGTACCGCAGTATCTGTATCACACTGGGAGAACGGAACGCTCCCAAAAGACGGTCTGGCAAGACCCATACCCACTCGGAGTCAGCCATGAGCATAACGGGATACCCCAGCTTTGCGCCAAAAGCCCGGGGACTCTCCAAGTTGGGATGAAAAGAGAGAGTCAGAGACAGACAAGGGGAGAGAAAAAGGACCAAGCCAGACCATGAGACCAGACGGCGGCTATGTGTGCGTCACACTCGAGTCGTGAGACTTCTTCTCAAAAGGGACGAGCCTGGCGCACCGACGCCCGGCCGTGAATGCGAGAATAGGAAAGTCATGACCGATTGGAGGCCCAACGACGAAGCGGTACGGATACGTTGCGGCATCTTCCGCCGACTTTGCGGTTCATGTCGTCTCTTCGTCAGCCGTGGTCTGCCCGACTGCTTGTCGTTCATCCCGGCAAGGGGGGGGGTGGGGGTGGGCGGTGGCGCGCGTGGGAGCCTCCGTCATCTTATTGAACCCGTCCTCTTTGCTTGCTCTCCTCCTGGCCTGGGGCTGGCTGTTATCGTTTTTCCCTATTGAATCCAAATGTGCCAAGTGGTGCTGTCTTTCCCTTTTTCTGCCCTCCTCACCCCCACAGACACACACCCGGCAATGCGTTAGCGTCCGGCGATCCACGAGCTAGAAGGGGAAGACAAGCAGCCCACGCCCCAAAGTTCTGTCGATCGGTTTCGCTCCCTGGGGTGTGTGTGATGTGATGTGATGCGCGCTCTCTAGGTATTGATTGCACTCGAGTCAACATTGAACAATGGAATTGTCCTGTCTCGGGGCTATATTCTCTTTCTGGCTGAGCGAACGCCGGAAAAGAAAAAAGCAAAGCAGGGCAGAGACATGGAAGAGGGGGAAACAAAACGTGCAAAAAAAAAAAAAAAAAGAGTTTACGGGTGGGTTGGGTTGGTTGACAAAGCTGTTAGTAAACCACCGACATGAGAGACACTCAGGCGATGTTGGAAGCTGAAGCGAACACTGGACGACACACGGCACATCTCCACGGGTGCTCCCAGCGCTGCTTGGTGATGATGATTTTACAAGTGACCTTTGGTGGTGGTGGTGGTGGTGGTGGTGGTGGTGGTCATAAAGCTCACAGAGTTCGCACCGGCGTCCGCGATCCCGCTTGTCAAGATTCAGAGTGAAGGCGACGTAGCCGCAAAACCCAGCCCAGCTTCTACGCACACCACAGTGACACTACACGCCCCCTACCCTACCTTACACTTCCCTTTCCCCTCTCAGTTCTCCCCCCAACCTCTCCAAGCCACCTGAAACGGGAGGGTTGTCACAGACGTGGACGAGGGTGTCTTTCCCTTCCTTCTGGGGGGAAGCGATACGTATCTGTAGAGTTCCATTGCATCTGAGCTTTTCTACGACCACGGTTTGGATTGGATACCAAGGCCAAGTTTGAGACGTCCTCTACAATTGGCTCTGGTCCGGTCTGGTCTGGTCTGGTTACATGATAGAGCCATGTCTGCCTCGTGGTCATTGTAGCCGCAATAGCCGTCTCTTAATGCTATCCTTTTTCAAACCTACAGATATTATCTGCCACGTTTTTGTCGAGACCTAGCCCCACGACCTTTGACATGTCTTCTTCATTCTGTAACTTGTAGACCGGAATGCGGAGCACGCGGAGTTACAGCACAGGATTGTCCAAGAAACCATGCGGAATGGCTAGACCATAGCCGCCATGCCCAATTTCCAACTTACAAAGTGACAATATTGGGAGTATTCGGGATGCGTACGTAAGGACGTTGGGCCGTCTGCGACGTTGACGATCACTAGACCTTTGGAGTCTCGGATTCGGTATGCACAGTCGGGCCGTGGTGGCTCTGCCGCCCTTCTCTATCGTTTTCTTTTGCTACCCTACGGACCTACAGGCTACTAGTGACTTTTGTGAGGGAATTTCTATGAGGGGACTACGGAAAAGACACCAGGAATCCCTTCGGCAGTTGGCTAGCCTGACGGTCAAATCGGCAGCGGGCAGCATCCCGCTGCCGTCCGTAAATCTGCAAAGAGATAGGGAGGGGAGTGTCCGGGAGGGGGAAAGGGAAAAAGGGTCCAGGCCGTCGGCAGCTGTTCGCAATAGGTGGTAAATCATGTTGATCAAGATGATCTTTGGGATCGCCCGGGGAGTTCTCCGTAGGAAGGAGCAGCAGTGCAGCGCAAAAGGGAAAGGGAAAGGGGAGATGAGGAGCCCATGAAAGCAAACCGCGATGGGTTTATCGGGACCATTACGGATACTTGGGATGTCTTGGTCGATGTCGATCTTCTCTCTCTTCTCCCCGTTCCAGGGATAGAGATTGGATGCCGTTCGTCCTCATCCTCCCTTTCCAGGCCCTTTCAGACGTTCTCACTGTCCGTTAGCACGGTCCCATCGTCTTGTGGACGGTTGCTTCTGCGATTGTCACTTCTTACTAGCGTAGTGGCGTCGCAGCGGGAAACGTTAGGTGTCATTCCCAGGAAATGCTGCCGTCCGAGCGGCGAGCAGACGAAATGGACGTCGCAGACGGCATCTAGCAGTGAGGAAAATTGGAGGAACCCACAAGAGTCCAAGTTTGTGTCTTCTTTCTTCCCTTCGCTTGGCGAAGCTCAAACACTGACGTCTCTAGTGTTGCGCTTTTGTATAGTGTAGAAATAAGCGAGGTAACCTAAAGCGCAACTACAACAACAGCCCAGCCTGTTCCTTCATCTGACTGTTTCAGCAATGTGGCTTGATGCCGGGAAGATGGTGGACGTTGGGGAAGAAGGGGGGCAGGAGGGGGAGTGTCATCGCAGCATTGAGTTGGAATCTGCAATGGCAGACTGGCTCGTCCGTCTGAACCGGTCGTCATTCCTCTTCCCGCTGGGCTCAAACTGACAAGCAGCAGCCTGCCAGCGGCCCGGGACTCTTTTTCTTCAGAATTTTGGCTCAAGGTCTGGGCAGCAAGGCTGTACTTCGGCGTGTTGTGGGTTAGAGTGTAAGGTTGCTCATCGATCAGATGAAAGGCTTTGAAACACAATGTGTGGCCATTGTCTTTTTCCTCTCTGACCTCCTTTGCACACCGCACACCGAGGGAGTGGGAAAGACAGGATGAGAAGACGTAGGGTACGATGTTGAAGGTGGTGTGAGCGCTGCTGAAGACAAAGTTCAACGGGCCAATAAGTCGTCGACTAAGACGAAGACGCTCACGTCTCGGTTGAGCGGTTGAACCATCCCCCAATGAAGGGATCCCCCGTCTAGCAAATTGGGTGAGCGTCCAGTCTGCACTTTACCGTACCTTTACACACTCTACGAATACCATGGTACGACACTACGAAAGCAGTGCGCGTGGCATGGGGGTGGGACATGAACAGAGTTCCCTACCGTCCGTCGCCTGTACCATTCGGAGGGGACGCGCTAACGTGGTAGTCGACGGACTCTCCGTCGTGACGGGTTCTGGGAAACTTGATGGACGAGCCAACCAAATTTCCCACCGCCGCGACACTGGGAACGGCGATGGGCTGGTTTAGCGGCGTAGCGTGCGATTTCCCAGGCATGAGTTGCATCGAACGCACGTTTACAGAAAGATAGGCCCCAGGGGGAGTATGATGTGGGAAGGGTTAAGGGTCGAAAGGCTGGACTGGGGAGGGGGAGGGGGGACGCACGAGACTCCAAGAAAGAAGAAGAGATCCCCGCCAAGAAAGGATATGAATCGTCTGAGGTCTGCAAAGCAAGGAATGCCGGTCCCTGGTCGTTAAGTCTGCGTGCGAGTGCCGACCAAGGCTCTCCCAGCCCCAGCCCGGTCAAGAAGCATGCCGGATCCTGAGTCGTCGGCTCTGCAGGAACAGGCTCAGCTGGAGCCCGTGATCGGCACGCGTCCCCCTGCTCGGAAGCCCTGCAAGGGTTCTGCTTGTTTGACTTCGACTTTTTGATATTGAGACGGAGCTGGGACCGGCTAGACGGGGTGGGCACGGTGAGTGGCCAACCCCCCTCCTATCCCCATCCTAAGTTCTAGCTAGTCAACTGCCCAGTAGTTGTCATCCTCGCTTTCTCGGGCGGTCAGTCAGCGAGAACATGCGCTCTATCCCATCGCCGGTTGAGACGGTGGCAGTGGGAAAGCCTGGAGAGCATGTCGAATGCAACATGAGATGCAATAGCTGGCGAACGCCTCTCGATATCGTCGATTACTACGTTATCCCACATCACACGCGACAACGATCAAATCCAGTATTGACGATACGCTGGACGGGGCGATGACCTGTACCGAATCGCCGGTCCCCTAGAGCGAGATTTGCTAATAACCCGACATTCATGCCCAAAGGGATCTGTCTCCTCTCACTGTGAGAGCCAGTGCTCAAAGCTCATGACGCCATGGGGTAGATCAGGCCATCGAGAGCTCTTGGCACTATCCGTCCTAGACTTTTCTCGTCTCTAGTGTCTCTTGTCTGTTTAGGCTCGTCCTTCCAGCCAGAAATATTTAGGCCCTCGTTCGGCGCCGAGTAGCCAAGAAGAGGAGGAACTAATGGCTAGCAAGTTGCGACGAGCAAGAGAGAGCAGAGAGCACGGATTCACTAGGGCCATCGCAGGCTTCTCGGCGAACGTCGGCAAGGACAGGCCACCGCTGCCACTCTTCCCGGCGCGCCGGGCAGGGTAGGGGGCACGGGAAGGTGGAGGGAGGGGGGCCCAAACTATCGTTAGCCAAGATCGCTCCGCCAAAGGAGTGAAAGGTGTGCCCCTCGTCCCTGGTTTTGACTTTCTGGTGCGCAGCGCTAGAAGGATTTTGGTCTGCGTCTAGCGTGAGGACAGAGTCATTAGTAACTAGCCGTGCTGACCTACCGGGCTCCGTACTCTTATAATGCCTCTTTAGAGACTAACCTTTCGACTCCAAGATTGCAGTGAAAGCACAGGGAGGGGCAGAAAGGCAAGCACTGCCCTGTGGCTGACGACGGTGAGATGAACGTTGAAAGCAGTCACTCCACGCTTTACGGAATATCCGTACCGCGCGTATGTAGACTACTCCGTACACTACTGAGCTTCTTGATGGAGAAAACGGTTGCCGGCTCGCTCTACCCACAATCTACGGATACACAGAGAGTCAGTGTTGTCGGCCCCTCCTCCCTGCGTCGGGCGAGTTCCTTTGGCTCTGCATGCAAACCGGGCTCCCACGCCGCTTTCTTGTGGATTTTGTGCCTGGCGCTGCAGGCATCGTCCCTCTTCTGCGCTGCGAGATGGAATGGTGATCACTGTTTGCGGGTCGAATCCATTCTCTTCGTAGCTGGGAAAGGGCTTGTCGAGAAAGACCGGTGTGGAAAGGGGGCATGAAGAATAACAATAACAACAACAGCATCGTCATCAAAGTAAGGGTCCATTCCCATGCGATGACCAAAAGCACCAGCACAATTCGCAGGACACAGGTCGTAAACACAAACACTTAGAGAAGGGTACTACTACTCCGTACATCCGTGCCCGCGGCGCTTGAAAGCCTCATCTCGGAGCGCCAGTCGATCCACTCCACGTCCGCCCGACTCCCGAAATTGGACTTCTCATAACCAGCCGGCTTCCTCGGGGGGTCTTGTCAAGCCATGTCTTAGACTCGTAAGTCAGCAACCCCGCTCGGGGGGAAGAGTCCCCATTTTCTCCAACAGGATGCCAGCGAAGGAAAAGCTTGGTATTACATACGCACGTATTGACATGAGTACGATGAATCAAGGGTCCGGAGATCCATTCATCCGTCAGAACAACGAGTGCCCATGATGGGCAGAAGATTGACTCGAGGGGTAAAACACGGAATAATATAACATAATTGCAATTAATGGCGCCTTGGTCCTTTGCAAATCATATCAATAGAGTTCTGCGCACCCTGGCTGATCAAAGGGGCCGCTCTAAATGAATAAAAGAGGGTAAAAACATTAACATTCATTATGTTACGGAGTCATTGAAGAAACAAAAAAGAAAGGGGGCGGATAAACGACAGATCGATATTGACAAACAAAACACCTGGCGGGAAAGCTTCTTGTCAATATTGCAGCATGACACTTGAGAGACTTTGACGTTGCAGGCCGAGTCAGGACGACACGAGAAGCTTAATGTGCCGCCGACGTCCAGAGGTACCTTTCAATCCTTTCTGCCCTGTCCGGCAAAAAAGAGACGAATGGCAGCAGCAGAGGTAGTTTGCGCCACCAGGCCAATAAAGCTGAGTACCCCCAGCCGTTGATGCTACGCCATCGTCTCCCCTTTTTGGCGCCGTTGCACCGTTGGAGCCGCGATGGGAAAGTCGCCCACGTCGTAACTGGTCGTAAATGGACATCTTCCGACCTTGTCCCCGAGAATTTGTCCCCAAATCGCGTAATGTGATCTTCCCATCCCCGTGTCCCCGTGTGCCCTCGATGTTACCGTCGCAGTGTCCAAGAAAGCAAAGCCCCCCCTTCTAAGTTCTGTCCAGTTACAATGGCCGACTTTTCTTGAACCTCCCCCCGGTTTAGAGTTGTAGGTCTTGTTTCTTCCCCCTGCCGTCTCCCACTGTCTATCGCAGCGCGGATCGGCGTTGGCTGCAGCAATCCTGACAGCTATCCCTTTCCCCGACCCCTACCTTGCTTGCCCTTCCCTTTCCCCTTCCTCTTTACCCGGGGTTGGCCCGGCGCTGTCATTCCAGACTTTGCTCTTCTTTGGTCCACGCGGGTTCGGATAGTGTAGTGTATGTTACTCTGTCACTCTGCTGTGCGCAGTACTTCGTATGTGTGTGCGTCCAACTCCCCGAGGCCCTCCCCGCCCACCTCAGAGACCCCATCGACTCAGCCAGCGACGCTAGTCAGATCAACAGGAATCGGTCTCGATTTGTCTTGTCACTGACACTCTGTGCCTTTTTGGATAGCGAAAGCTAAACTGCTGAAGCCAAGAACCCACGTACTCCGTAAGGCCAGCGGGTCGGCCATTTCTTAACTCGGACTTTGAAGTCTCAGTTGCTCCGGTTCGGTGGCGCTAAACATTTGGGAAGAATTAATTCCCGAGCAGGGCGGCGTACGTTTTGTGAGGTTTAGTGATAGTCCACCAACAGGTGGAGGCTCCTTAATTCGAAAAGCTACAGAGCTACATTTCATGAGTTGAGACATTGTAATCTTAAAACTCTCAATGTCATCATCCTTCAGCGTACCTCCGAATCAGTCACTCGTAAAGAAAAACAAACTGGCTAGGGAAGTACTGTGTATGTGTGTGTGTCTGCCGTATGGTACATGTATGTATGTATGCACGCACACACCAACACCAGATATTCTTCACTGCCGTGCCGTGCGAAGCGAACACACAGACCGCAGCGTAGAAACAATGAAGTCAAGAAAAAGCCCACTCCGTGACGTGCACGAGACACTGTCGAGCCTATTATACATGGCTGACAGAGCAGTGCAAGAGCCAACTCTCACCCCAGTCAGGTGTCACATCACACACTTTCCCAATCTCACACTTCAGCCGCATTGCGGTTGCGGGGAGGGATGGGATCCGGAACGGAAAGGCAAAAAAAAAAAAAAGAAAGGATGGGATGCCAGTCAGTCAAGCCAGTCAGCCAGTCAGAGAGAAGGCCAACGCTCGGGCTGGGGTCTCCGGTTCGTTTCATCGGTCTGAACAATACAAAATCGTCGGGCAAGTCTCGTGTCAAGTAGCGATGAGGCGAAGGAGCGAAAGGCAAAATAGACTCAATAGGGACAAGCAGACAACTTGGAGTTACCTTGCTAAACGTCGAAGGAAAGAGACGTAAGAGAAACAATGGTTGGCCGCATGACTTTCAGCACCCACGCCTATTTTGCCGTGGACAAAAACCAATCTGGCCTCTTTGGACGTGAGAGAGAGAGAGAGATTTTGGGTTCCATCGGTCAACCTTGGAGACGATTAACGGCGAAAAGACCGGCCGAAACAATGCAAAGGCAACACTGACCTCACTTCTCTTACACCTTACACAACAGAGTGAGAGAGACTGGTAGAGAGATGCACATACCACCTAACAAGAAAAAATCAGGCGGTGGGTTTTTTAAGCGTAAATCTTCTGACTGTCTCATCCCAAGAGTACCACCAACTCTCTGACACCTTTCTGCAGCGTCGATCATCTGCCTCCCCCCCCCCCCCTCCGGGCTGGTTTCCCTTGGTGTCAATCATTGCCGTCTTCCGCCCTACCGCCTCCTCTTTCGCCGCACTTCTCTCCGAGACCCAACGTTCCCGCTCTGGAACTTGGGCTCTTCTTTTCCTTTTCAATGAATGGAGACAGAGAAGGTACCTAGACTACTAGATCCACGGAGAAAATGAGAAGTCCTCCCCCCCTCTCCTCCCCTTGCCCCCTCCCACCCTGGTGGAGTTTAACGGGTGTGCCTGTGTCATCAGCAGCTGCCATCTCACAATGTTGCGATCGGCGGCTTTTCCGTCCGGTCTCAAGCCTCGAAGTCAACGTACCTAGTAAGAAATGGCTCATAGCAAACTATACTTTCCTGTTTATGAGTGCCTGTGTCGGAGAAGCTATTCCGAGTACGTGTGAGTCCGTGAGGAAACATAATAGCGGTAGTCAAAAGATTAGTGATATGTTGGTGATGAGGAGATGAATCGAACTGATCCGAGCTTTCCTGCGTGCTCGGTCCAATCTGTCTTGTTGTGTTGCAAGGGGACCAAGTTCGCCTCATTGCACCACAACCCACAAGGTAAAGCCCACACATGTTACGTCTTGGGACGAAAAGATGTGGCCAGCAAAGACTGACGAAACCATCAAGTCACTGTGCAAAAGTATGGGGAACTGATGATGATCTTTCAATCCTCTCCTCTGTTCGATTCTGTGCGGCTTCTCCTTTCTATATACATTACCACATAATCGTACATTTTGATATAATCGTTCAAGAACCGGAATAATAATGGAAAGTGAAATAGAAAAGAAAAAAAGGACCCAAAACACTGCCAAAACAGGAGAATCCTCACAGGATTAACCTTGACTCTCGACTTGCCTCCGAACCAGAGAACTAGTCACACACAATAAATGTCGTGCCACCTCCACACACGATCTACCCACCCCCCGTATACAATTCAAAACGCCTGTAAATGCCAAGTTTTGTCATTGCCTGGCTGGACTTCTTGTCCGTGACCAGTTTTGCTCCAGCCATGATTCACGCCTCCTGCTCCGGTAGTAAAAAGCAGACGAAAAGGAGAATGGAAGAAAGAAGCCAACTTTAACACATGTCGAGAAGAAAGAGATTTCTTCCTCTGCCTTTGAGTGACCCATCTTCCCCGAATCCAGAGGACCGCCAATGGATGATGTTCTCCAATCCGTGGGGAACCCTCTTTTGTAGTTGTTTAACGCCGTTGAAAAGACTTTGATTTGATGGTTTGGGTGTTTTTGTTTTGTTTCCTTTTCGTCGTTGCTGATTATGATGTTAAAATTGAATGTCGTTTGATGTTGTTGCAGTTGCGATAGAAGTGATAATGTTCTACCACGTGGTATCTTTCCCGTTGAAACCGGTCCGAACCCCTTCCCCTTTGCCGTTCCAGCTCTTTTGCGCGTTCGACGACTCCACTCCAGGATTTTGGTCGTATTGATCATGATAACAGTAAATAGAAATAACCGTTCAAATTATAATTGTCGATCAGTTGCTGCAGGTGCTGCCGCTCTCAAAGTTGTGGCATCCGCGTTCGTGACGCTTCATGTTGCTGCGGACGCTGAAAGCCTTGCCGCAGCCGGCGTGCGGGCACTTGAAGGGCTTCTCGCCGGTGTGGGAGTGGCTGTGGATGCGGAGGGATGAAGGGCGGGAGAAGGCCTTGTTGCAGGTCTGGCAGATGTAGCGATCCTGGCTCTGGGGGAAGGATGCCGCCGAGGAAGGGGAGATGTAGTGGTGATGTTGCCACGGGTTGGTGCCGTTGGGTCCCATGCCGACGGGAACGGGGGCCATGGGCGGGAATTGTTGGGGGAGAGGGCGCTGGTAGTAGATGCCAGAGATCTGGGCCTGAGGAGGAGGGGTGTGCTGCATAGGAGGATAGTAGGAAGCCGCCATGGGGTTGTGGGCGGGCATGTAGGCAGGCGGGAAAGGCTGGGCCTGGGCATATGAGCCTTGTACGGGCACTCTTGGGATCATGGGGGCCATGTGGCGGTGGGCTTCGGCTTCCAGAGGCGGCGTGGACTCATAGTAGTAGTTGCTCTGGGGTTGGGAGACGACGGAAAGCTGGCTGACGGATCTCGTTGAGGGAGAGTTGTAGCCATCGAAGGAGGCGTCGGAGCTCATGGGAGGCGTGGGAGGAAGTCCGCCGCGGCCATAGTGAGAAGAGCTTGGTCTCGTCTCGGACTTTTGGGAGGATGCTATGCGGGAGGTCAGTGTTCTGTTGCTATTGTCTGTTGCGCTGTCCATCCTATCCATACCTTGCTGAGGAATCTGAGGGTGCGTCTCAGATGTGGGCGAACCCTGGTCTGCGAGGCCGAGAAGATTTGAGATGGAGGGGAGAGAGCACTTTGATGTCTCGTCCATGGGAGGCGATGGGGGAGGTTGAGGCGGTTGGACGTATCCGTAGTGTGCGCTTTGCTGAGCAGCGTACGGGTTCGATATTAAAGCGCTCGCCATTGTTGCTTATTAGAGAGTTTCGAAAAACTTTGTGAAGTGTGCTTGGTGCTGGTTGCGGGGTGTAGTTAATCCCTTTGTCCTTGTAATTGACTTCGGTCTTGTCGTCGATGAGTTGATGACAGAGGTGGGTGATGTGATGGTGATGGTGGTAGGTCGTTGAATATTAACACAACAGGTATTAGATGTAGAGTAGTGATTAGCCCCAAGTGCCAGCTGGATACTAGAGATTGATTTTGCTTCAGGAGTTATTCGAGATTCCAAGTCGATGAGGGGGAAGGGGAGGGTGGGTTGTTTAAGTATGAAGCGGCCTGGTGAAAGAAGCTTGTTGGTGGGTGGATGGAGTAGAGGTGGCAGATGGGGGAGGCAGGTATATCAGATCTCCCGAAGCAGAGTGGAATGGGTGATCAAGCGTAAATCCACACGATGATCCCTGGACGATGAGATGCCACAATCGCCTGTCACAAATTGTGTGTGGGTCAGAGGCAGAGAGAGTGGGATAAGTCTTGGGACCGTTACGCCAGGCCTGGGACCAGACGAAAGGCGGCGACGACGGGGGTGTGTGGTTCTGATAGTAACGAAGCAAGGGTCAGTCCAAGGTCCTCGTCTTGGGTCATCTATGGGGTACGTACTACCTAGTCGTGTTGCGAGGTTTAACGACAAGGGGAGGAGGACGGGGTCATCGGTACTAGGTAGATGAGACCGGGGGCCTTGAAGAGGGAGGAGGGGAGGGGAGGAGAGGAGGAAGAGGAAGACAACGGGTAGGAACTAGCAAGTAGCAGAGACAGGAAGAGAGTGAGAGAAGCACGAGCACGACGCCTGTCTTTCGATGTATCTGTAGCCTGGCTATAGCGCCTCCTGGATATTGGGATGACGGGGCAAGGGTATACCTACTTGGACGGTTCTCTTACTTGGGGGTGCATCGGGGGATCCTGGGCGATGCTAGTTGTGTGCCTGAACTACAATCATAACAACAACGATCTCGAGTCTGGCGTGGATAGAAAGAACAGAGTTGTAGCGTATCCGTACTTCTACGTAGTAAGGATACATGGGAGTAGTAGGTAATGGGTGTATCCGTGTTGCTGGCAGGCTGGCAGCAGTAGCCGGGATTGCGGGTGAGATCGAGGGCGACTGACCCCGTCTGGGATCAACGTCAATGGATCGCTGAGGTCAAACGGTCACTGGTTTATGCAACGGCAGGGTCTCTTGCTCACGAGCACACCCCAGCCGTGTCCTGGCTGTTCGTCAGGGCCTTGCTCTGAACACCTCTTCCTTCTCCCACACGGGAATGTACTGAGAGAGTCCCCTACATGTCTTGGCCACACGCCCTCTTACTCTTCTCGCGCTCTCTCTCTCTGTCCTCACAAACTCTCACGCTGCCGACACACCCTCGACCACGCCTCCCCGGTTCCCCCCTCCCACGGCCGTGGTGCGTGGGCCGCTAGTCTAGCAAGGGTTAATCCGAATCCAGTGCTGTTATGCATGGCACCACTCGGGCCACCATTTCCTAATCTGGATCTTGCTCCCGTTCCGAGGACGGGGCAGTCTGGGATGCCTGACCCCTGTCCTGTCATGAAGGCTTGTGTGTTTGGGACGGAGGCCCGAGGGGTTGGTGTAGAAGGGAAGAAGATCAAGAGGCACGATGGGAGAGAGAGAGAGAGAGATGTTCGTTGTGGACTGGGGTTGCCAGCCGGTGGGCACGCACCACAGACACACACTGCTCCGCACACACGCACGCACTTGAGACGAGCAACGACTCTGTGCCTGACTGACGTCGGGGGGCGTGCGGCGTGTGACGCCCCAAGAGCTTCATCAGACCCTGCCAGCCCTGTGCTGCGACCGGATTGTCGAGGTGATCTTATGCCGTTCGTCGCTTCTGCCTCGAATGTGCAGATGCCAGAACGTCATCCCAAGGCTGCGAGGCTTCAGAGAGGAGGGAGGGGGACACGGTGCTTCAACGTGCCGTGCTGGGTCCCATGTTCGGATGACTGGTGTCTTTGTTCCAGAATCGTCCTGAAGTGTTGAAATGGCAAGTTGACCATGATGCAGATTGTCAGATCCAAACTTCGCTCAATCTGCCGACGACGCGAGATGATCCCAATCTTGTCTCAACGGCTCTTCCCAGCATAATGAGTTGTTTCTATGCTACTATGATATTCGGCCTCGCATCCGTGGGAGGGCATACAAATATCAATACACAGGGGCACGGAAGAACCCCTTCCCAGATCATGGGACGTTAATTGCAACAATATTCCGGATTTACTGCAGGGTTGAGAGGCAGGAGTGGCAAGCAATCTGGCCGGATGCTGTTTTGATTGACGCCCATCACGTTGCTCTCAAGACAAGCTTAATGATAAAAAAGGGTTGACGGGCTGGGAAAACGGCCTGCTCTTGGCATCTCATGCGGATTCGTCGGGATGAAAGATAGAGAAACAGCTCCCAAGACGTTGCGTTGCGTTGCGTCAACTCATGTGAAGAGCCGTTTTGTGCAACGGCAACAGCCGGTCAACTCTGGACGACAGCCTTTTTTTTTTTTCTTTTCCTTTTTTGACAACTTCAGACAACTCTCAACTTTGTGTCGTGTGCGTTGCAACCTTCAGGCAGATGCCGCTTGGCGGTGCCGACATCAACTAATAACTGAGTGCCAGAGTCGCATCCCGGAGTGGCATTTTGGCCATTCACAATTTAGCCTCGAAAATCAGTGTGGTGAAGGATTGACCGTCCGCCAGGCTTTCGGGTCGGGCATCAGTCCGAATTGGAAATGGAGCAGAAACTGTTCAAAGTTGAGTTCAGCCCAGGCAAGTCGGCCCCAGTGATCCCATATGATCGCAATTCAACACAACGCAACGCACCCCTAGATAGAGTTCGTCACTGCAGCCCAACTCGACTCGGGGGCGCGGTTGGCTTTGTGGCACTCAGGGAAAAGCCGCCAGCGAAGCTCTCCCGCAGTCGCCGCAAAGCTCCTGGTCTGGCGTCTGCCGCTAGGTTCGGCGCCGTCGACATCGCTTGCAGCGGCGGCCGTGCGAAAGGGTTACGCACGTCAAGTTTGAAGGTAGCTGTCAGCGACTCGTTAGCCTCTTCTATTGGGCCCGGCTCTTGCTGCTTGTTGCTGTTGGGTCGGTGTGCTCTGACTATATCTCTCCATCTTGTCTTTTCCCCCCATCTTGGTTGTGGGCTTTTTGCGAGGGGATCGGACGGCGGCGGCGTCAAAGAGACGGCACGGCATCGATAGGGGAATGGGGCATCAGGGGCGCCGGGATACTGTTTCTTGGAGGAGGAGGGGGGAAAGACTCCATATTGGCATGGCATGAGGGTGTGAGAAATGTGAGATGTGTGAAGGGGGTGGAAGAGGAGGGGGGGGCAGGGAAACAGACAGTCGGAAACAAAGGCTAATTTCAATATGATCTTCAGTTTAGCTCGAGCGCCAGGAAAGCCCCCCTCGCTTGCGCAGGGTGGCTTGAACCTTGCAAGGATAGGGTCGCAGGGGAGGAAGAGATGAAGTCTGGTCTTTGGCGTCGGCTCTTTCTCTCCTTCTGCCCTCTCTGCTCGGATTCTCGCTCTCTGAGTTTGAACGGCCCATGGATGTGCGCATGTGTGTTGTGTGGTCATCGTCTTGGCCTGGTGCTTGCTTTCCCAAAACATTTCATCCCACCCCGGGCCCCGGCCATGATGTCTCGCACATACCCTGTCCTCTGCAAGGTGCCTCTGCCTCTCTCTGGCTCCTACTGCCCTGGTTCAAAAGGAAGGGGTCCGTGATCGACCTGGAGACGAGGGTCGGGAAAGATGGGAGGAAAAGGGTTTGGGAATTGGAATGGAATGCAGACGGAACGGCAACGGAGTTCCTGGGAAAGGCCCGGGGTCGAGACTCAAGGGGGTTGGGGAATCCCTTCCTTCCTTGTGAGGTGAGGGTCAAGGCATGAAGAAGGCCTCGAGTTCCGAGAGCTTCTCAGGCACAATTGTGCAACAGAATGGCTTCGGATGAAGCGGTGACTCGTCCGTTGTTGCTTGCCAACGACCAAATGACAGGCTCCGTCACGTCTTGTCCCGCCGATGTCGTCCCAAGTCTTCCGCCGTGACAGCTCCGGTCGCTCTGATGTTTTGCCACTGCTTTAATATGCTTATGGCAGCAAGTTTCCTCAATCCTCATTCATGTGAGTGCATGGATACCAGCCTTTGGAAGTGAGTGGTTGTGGTTGATCAGAGAGTTTCGGAGTGGGTGTCTGTGTCTGCGTCTGCGACGACACTGATAGCATTTGCATTCCCGTTTGCATTTTGCATGTCTGCAACTCTGCATTTTGCCATGTGTGCTGCCCTGTGACAGAAGAGCGTCCCTGAGACTTGACGACAACTTGGCATGGCACTTGGAGAAACGACGACCACGTAATACCCTCCCCAGACCCCCGAGAGGCTTGAGGCTTGCCTTGGTACGCTTGCAAGGCTCGGGGGACGGGGAAACGGGGAAACGGGGGAACGTTGAGACAAAGTGCAGACTTCAGACTTCGCTTGAGAAAATGGCTGGCGACGGCGTCGTCTAGTGTCTCCGTGTCAAACTTCGCGAACGACTTTAGCGTCCTAGCACGTGAAGAAGCAGAGACACAGAGAGAGACATAACACTTCTAGTGTGTCTAGTATAGCTGAGAGCGAGAGTCTTAGTTGGAGCGTCCCCGCCGCCAGTGAAGACTTTCTCCCTCGGTCCACCCTATGCTAGCAGACGTAGACGGGCCGTATGTGACGAGAGGACTTGTGAGGCTTGCGTGGCTCAGAGGAGGAACCGCCCGGCCGTTGCTTGCTTTTTTCCACCACCGGTGTCCATGGCCCATGTTCCCAGACGAAGCCATCACCAGAAACGAAATGGAATGGCTACCGCTATGCCGCGTGCTAACACCGAACAAGTTGTCTGTTCCGTCGCAAAGCACGCTAGACTCACACCAGAACCGCCATAGAATCCTTTAGTGGTTGCCAACGCCTTGCTTGCGACTGGCACTTGCACATTGCTGGGCCGCTGGCCGACACAATGCAACGATGAGCCCTTCCACACATTCTATCGTAGTCCGTCCGCATCTGAGGGTATCGGTACTATGCTCAGCAGGTTTGCTGATGAGTGACGACTCTCTCTACGAATGAGAGTCTGCTCACTTCAACCCTGTTCCGCCCTGCTGCACCATGCTTGCGGATGAAAGTCCCGCTGCAGCGGGCGTGTCGTCGCTCACCGTTGTGGGATGACCCCCCAATCTCCATCTCCCATCGGTGTAACATCTCGTTCATTCGCCAATCGGCAGCAGCTGGTTGTCCCCCCCCGCCGTGGGGAGAGAGGATCGTGATGCGCGAGAACCCAACATCAGGATAGTCTCTTAGCCGTCCGTGGTGCTGGTTGACCCCCCGAAGCGACGTAATTCACCTCATTCTCATGTGGCTGAGCAGTATCTTAGAACCCCGAGATGGGAAATGAACGCCTGACGATAAACTTTGAGAGCAACACGCAAAAGTTGAAGCGGTTCGTAGATAGTTCGTGAGCCTTGCAGCGGCTGCAGATCGCCGGGAGGCCGGCCACCCACGTCTTCGTCCCTTGTACTCCGTTATTTCTTTATTTTTTGATTAATCTTTTTTATACTTTGGCTATGCCTGACGACCATCTGCCAACGACTCAGCACCCGCATGAAATCGTAAAACCTTGGAGAGGCCATTTCGTTTCGACGGAATCATTCTGCCCCCGTCGCTCTCTAATTCTCACAACCCTAGCGTCAGATCCCGTTTCTCGTGGCCTTCGGTCAAGATCCTCACGACGGGCGCGCGACGATCTCTCCTCTGCCCTGCTCCCGTGGTCCCATGTCGTCGGAAAAGCACGAGAAGGAGTGTTCCCCATTCAAAAGACATGGACCGCAAGTCCCGTGATCGGGCTTTGAACTGATCCAGGTCCTCGGGCTTTGAAGCTCTACTAGCGCGAGCCTGGGCATTCTCCCAACCCCAGTACGTCCGTCCGCCTCCTCCGCCGTATCCTGTCAAAACAATAACTTCCTGGGATCAGTCAGATCTGTCTACCTCTCTGTGCCTCTCTCTCCCTCTCTCCTGCTGCTCGTAAGGACAAGGAGTTCCGCGGGTGAGCGATAGGCCTAGCTACCTAGGCACGGCTAGCAAAGTGTAAGGTAGCAACGAGCTCCCTAGGCTTGCCTGAGCTTAGCTGGTGCCAAACGAAACGGCGTCCATCCAGATCGGGTGCAGCGCGTGGCGTCCGCCAGACCTTTCGTATCGACGTATCCCTTCACTTTGTCGTCGTCCGTCCCCCGCGCGCATGCAAAGCTGCTGCGTGTCGACCCTGCAGTATGGGGTACCCTACGGCGCGAAGCGGTCGTACTTCGGAGCCTCTTTTTGATTGTACCGGTCTCGTCATATGGGAGCACACCCCATATAGCCCTCTTTTTCGATTCCCTAGACTGAGAGCGGCAGGCCGTACGATGGTATACGCAGCCAGCACAGATGAGGAGGGTGGGTGGCAGATGTACCCGTCCAACCGCTACCGCTGGATGGACGCCTAACCAAACCAAACACCGGGCTTTTTTTTTTTTTTTTTTTTTTTTTTTTTCGGTGTTGGCAGTCCGGCTATTCGTAGTGATGGAACGTGGTAGGTAGATCGTCCATCCTTTAGGCTTTTCGAGACTTGAAGTCTGAAGACGGGGACTCGGACCACGGTACAGCTCGCCCCAATGTAACTTGTACGAGCGGTCATCATCCACGCAAGCAGATCTGTGAATGGGATCAACTGTGCCCCTCTAGGTAGGTAATTCACCTTTAGACATTGGCCTTCAACAACAAGCCCGGGCCCAATCTTGTCTTCCAGCTCACCTGTCACCGACCAATCTCCGGGAAGGGCTGGACCTTGGGCTGGGCTGGTTCCCCCTCGACCATCAAATCCACCCACCCCCCTTGTCCAAGACTACCTCTAACCGAAGGGCACTAACGCGGTGCCCGCGCGGCGATCGTCTTCGAGTGCCTCGGGTATTGTCCCAAAAACACTCTCTTGGTAAACCTTGGTCAGCAGCAGCGCAGGTTGAGCACGTTGTCTACCGCGGCGCCGCTACCTCTGGCTGGGTACCGTCGTGCCGATCTCGAAGAATAACCCACGCACCCGGACGGGAAGTTGATCCAACCATGACGGCCGATGATGTCGTTGCAGCCGGCACTGCGTCCTCTTGGACAACCCTGGTCGTGAGTCTTCAATTGCAACTTGCAAGATCATCCGGAGAATTCCAGGACAATGCCACGGTCGTGGATACATGAGGCGATTCTCACTTCATTGGGGGTATGTATCGTTGTCGACGGCGACGATGGGGGTCACGGGGCCTCCTTATCCATAATAGAGCATGGGGGGTGTCACCAACTACATCATCACCTTCATTATTATTATCATTATTATTATTATTGTCATCATTATCATCATTACCTAGCTTACGTACGCGTTCTTGAGTCTCACCCGCCAAATCAATGTTTGGGATACCAACCCCGCGAACACTTGGCTCTTGCGGAGGAAATGCCATCCGGATGCCCTCTGCTGTCAATCATCGGTCAACTCTAAAGTCAAACAATGGCAGCTGCCTGTCTTGCAACTCATAGTGTGCCATGTACGCTGCTTGGCGCATGCAAGATCGTCCCTGAAGCACGAGTGGTGTCACGGAACGGGCAGCCGACCGATGTGTGTGTTTTGGTACAGGTTGTGCTTCAGCCTTCAAGGACAATTCAATGCCGGTCGCGAATCCGATTCCTCGGCCCCTACCTACCTGCCTTTTCATTGCCAGTTGCAGATCGTCCATCACCGACCCGCTCACTCACCAGGGGTGAGGAGCGTGAGTTTGTGCAGAGTACTGTGTATGTAAGGATAAAATGATGGCTGGGAGGAGGCGAGTGTTGCGTCATGTTTCTTGATACTTTGCCCCCCATCACACACATACATCCGTATTCGAACATAGGAGCAGTGTAATACATCAACACGCACCGCAGTAGCTCCAGAGTTATTATGGAAAGTCTCACCAGTGATCACAAACACAAAAATTCCAGCCCTGCACCACATGGCTAACATGCTAATCACTCATGGCGGACACGAGCTGTAAAGACACTACGCAACTGCCGACCGCCTGGGCGTCGCGCACTATTGTAGTAGGTTTCGTCGTAGTAACGCGCCGGCAGCCTCGCCTGCAGCAAAGCCACTCGGCACTTTACAACGACGAAGAGGACGGTAGCGTCCGAGGGGCTCGGAATCGGAGCAACTGTTCGCGAACATCAACCCTAGGTGCAGGACGCCGTCTCTATTACTACCACCTAAAGTCAAATCTGGTTCCTCGTATGAAGGTGTCTCGAAACTTTGATTTCGAGATACCTATACTACAAGCAATCGCTGCCTACGCTAACGACCCAAGGGGCCCTGTGACCCTGTACTGGAAAGTGTGTTAAGTATAATGGAATCGATGATGTCGCCCGCTTGAATTCCGCCGCCAGCGTGTGCCTGGGCCAATGAATCCCATGGTTGGTACCGGTGCAACGGGCGTGACCAGGTCCTTCTCTGGCGTCTCTCCACGGCAGGTTCCTTCAAGAGCGCCAGGGACGCTGATTGGGATGGCGGGACCCAGACGCGGACGAGGGCGTAGAAAGGATCTGTCGATCAGCACAGGGGGGGCCATCCGCCCAAGCCCAACCCTTGGCTCTCATCCCATCAGCTTGCTTTTTGAGAACCGGTCCCAAAGTCTGTTGCGATGGCTCCACTATCACCATCCATCTTCACACTTACTTAATCGCTCAACAAGAGTCGAGAGTTCCAAACGAGAGAATTATGACGGAAACGGCGTGAAAGAGAGAATGCCACTAGCTGAAGGGGAAATGAGGCTCAAACCTCAAACAAACATAGCAAGACATTTTAAAGACCGTGAGAAATGTGTCTTCAATTGCAAAAACGGCTCTAGTTTATCCTTCTTCTCGTCGCCCGGTCTCGCCTCGTAAATCATTTCCTGTTGTTCAAAGTCGAGACTCTTTCCCTTTCAACGCTTAATCAAAGCAACTTATCCCATTTGGCTAAGCCCCTAGAACACCTCTGGAACGACAAACCACCCCTGGATCCCCTACTTGGCCAGTCCTTCGACCACATTGAGATTTCCAAGAGTGGGGGAAGGATAAAATGGGAAGGATAAGATGGGAAGAAGAAGCACAGGCCAGAGCTTGCTCCCCCATGCCGCGAGGAACGTCGGCCGCTTGGGAATAAGTCCATTGGCAATTCGCAATCGGAGCCAGCTCCTACCATCGTATGCCCTGAGGGCCGAGGCTTCTGCCCATGGCAGGCTGGCAGCATTGAAGATGGCCCATCTCGAGAGATTTGGTAATTCAACTCTCGTGACTTAATAAGCTGGCTAGTGCCTCCTGCGACTGAAGCGGACAATCTCGATTAGATCTCGCTTCGGCCCCAAAAGAAGCGTCAGATTTGTGCGGATTGGAAAGACGACTAACCGAGAGTTTCGGCTAGAGCTGTGGCGGCCGGGCATCATCTACGGCGTCCCTTAGTCTGAGAGATTTAGAGAAATTGAACCGCCGCTCTCCCAAAGCCACATCACACAAACTTTCGACTACAGGAGCTGTAGCTTGGTTTTCCCAGGCATCTACTGCAGCCTACACTCTCTCGAATGAAATTTAGATGATCCTAAATTGAACCGACATGAACCTTTCCAGATAATAGTGAATAGACAGTGCAGTAGGTGAACCTACCCTGCTTCATCTACATGCCCCCCCTTCCCCTCCCTCCCAGCACCGCGTTCTCTGCTTCCCTTCCCTCTTCCCGGTCGGTCATCCCATTGGACGCCTCTCTCGAATCCTCCCGAAAGTTCCCTACGCACACGGCCGGATCCAAGGGGTGTGAAGAAGACCTGGCATTTGGGTACGGGATAGAACAGAAAAGCAGAGGCCCACGGGACAATCCTGTGATCTCCAGCCTCCGCGACGATCAACCAGGATTCCCCCTGCCCTGCCAACACACTCTTTCTTGACTGGACGACCCGAGAAGAACCACCACGCGAAGAGATGCAACCTCTTCTGAAAGCGTCCTAGATGAACATTGAAGAACCGTGGTCGAATGGGCTGGCTGGTCTTTCTTGGATACCCGGAAACCCGTTCTTTACCCATCACGCTAAGAGGAAAAAGTAGGGCCCCTTGTTGTTGAGAAGAGATGGATCAAGATCATTCGTTGACTAGGGGCCCTTTTGCTGCCCATCTCGCACGGGTCTATCAAGCTCTCGCAGGCCCAATGGAAGGTTGGAACTGCTCTGAATGTTGCGTTCTCTATCTCTCGCCTGTGGGCTGACTACTAACCCAACCAAGTTACCAATTCTAGCCATCTGCATCTACCCATCTTTGTCTCTCTCTCTCTTCTCTCCACCACGGGATTGGATTACCAGATCCGTGGCCCTCGTCGACGAATCTTCCTTGGCTTTTCTCCTCCTTACCAGGGTTTCTAGGCCAGTCGAGAACGCTGAACTGCAAATTGCCCCTGGCAGCCCTCCCACGCCCCCTCTCCCACCCCTTCAAGAGATCACCCATCCGGACGTCAAAGTAGGCACGTAGGGTCGGGATGGGCGCTGCGGCGCTGTCACTCTTTACCGTTTTCTTATTCTTTCGCCGTCTGGCTGTGCTTGTTTAAATCTCGTTCAAGGCCTCCAGGCGTCATCATGGCCTGACTCTGGCCGTTAGTCTTCCTCCCGTGCTTCCGCCTTGCCCCTGGGGGCCTTTGGGGGGGAGCTCTACTCTTTTGGGTTTGGGAAACAAAATGCATCAGCCACACTTTGAGTAGCTCAGTGACACACAGACACACACCTCGATGAGGCACCCCCAGTCCTCTCCCTACTAGAGCCTAGCCGCTCATCTCTCCAACGTCGCTTGGTGGACAGAAAACATTCCAGTCGACGACATGTTGTCTCTTCCTCCAGACTAATGATAACCTCTCGCCCTTACAGAATTATGTTTTTGAAACCGCCATCATTTAATCTGACTGCAAACGTTCTTCTCCTACTGCTTTTGATCTTTTCTCCCATGTTCACACAACGGGCGCTGCGGGTTGAACGATTCAGAAGCCTGGATTTTTCTCTCAAATTTCTATTAATAACGCCCAGCAAACCTGTCAATGCGATGAGATTGCCCAATCTGGACCATGTCCGGGATGCGATGTCCAATTATGTTTCTCGTTGTTTATTTTGCTTTTTCTCGAACAGTTTGTCTCGCAGCCCTGTAACGCCAACGACAATGGTTCACCATTCGATGTTTTCCCCGGGCGTCTCTTTTTGGCTTTTTATTCAGTTCTATTTCATAACTGCTGTACTTATTCAAATTTCCATCACAGGCTCACAGCATGTCCAGCATGAGTCTCTGAGCCTTGCTGGCTGGTTTCCCCCTTGCCACAGGGGCAGATCTCGACCGAGAACGAGCTGGGGGGAGGGTCGCCTTCAATGCTGCCGTTGAACGGGAACATGGGGGGTGGCAGGCGGCTGAAGGATGCAGCAAGATGCAACGAAAACCACGTCGATGACCAGCACATGCTTCTCCCCGTGGAATGCCGCTGCTGGGATTGATTCAAAAGCCAGCAAATGGCACGCACGCGCTTGTACCGTTCAACTGCAACCAACCCTCACATCGAATGGCGTTGCGCCCGTCATCATGAAGCTCGAGGCTTCGTCGCCCATGTGCCTCTATGCCGTCCTCGGTGCTGCGTCCCCCCAAGAGCTACAGCCACCAAGTGAGTGAGCAGCAGCAGCAGCAGCAGCCCGTCAACAGACAAGATGCAAGATGGGCTGTCGGGTAGCCTGCAGTGCAACACAAGACCACCGAACAGACCCCGGCAGTGCTGGTCAGTCGTCCTCTGGATAGGTTCTTCCCCATCCCGCTCAACGGGCAAGCTGGAAGGAGACAGGCAAGGAGCACGCTGCGAGCTTAGCTCGTATGTCACCATGGTCTCATGGATTGGTTCCAGTTATGATATCCGTACCTCGGTCTCTGCATCTCGGGGGCGTTGCTGCTCCTGCTACTGCTGCTCTCGGTCAAAGTTTGCCGCATCGGCCGGGGACAGGAATACCGGTACCAAGGCGAGCGGCCCAGAGAGCATGGGTCAATTGGTTCGCATTACACAATACGTACGGCAAAGTACGGTATTGTTTGCCTGTCAAAAGAGAATGGTTGTTGGTCCATCTACATGTCCCGAGAGCAGTGCCAGTATCTCTGCCGGCAAAGTCTGCAAGCCGTCTAGACTCGGGGAGGCGGACGGACTTCCATGCTACTGCATTTGCCGCCCTCCGCGCTGTGCAATATCATCATCAAAAAAGTACCTCTCCCTTCGGCTGTCAATGATCTACTCCTTACGAAGTTACGAATAACCCCAATAAAAAAGTACGCGTCCGACAGACATGCAAATCCGCATAGCAGAGGCCCTGCCTCATCTCGACGAGTCGGCCGCAAGCGGGCCTTGCGGGGAAACGCAATATGACAATTCAGAGGAGTTGGAACGTTGATGACTCGCAAGCCACATGGCTCGAAAAAAGGATCTTCCCTGCCTTCATTCATTGAGGCTAGAAGACCGTTTGGGAATTTCTCGAAGGGATATCCCCCTCACCTCCAGCCCTGTCAACAGGAATGCAGGCGGACTGGCGAAATGAGCCCTTTGCTGCTAAGCCAGTCCCCGGACCCCTGCATGTGGTCCCTATATCGGCCTCTACTAAGAGTCAAAAGAATACACCGGCGTCCCGGTTTGCTTTTTCTGACAGCTGTATGACCCAAGACGGACTCAAAACAAAAAAAGAGAGCAATAACAACGTCAGGAATGGGCTTCTCGTCCGGCGAACGGGGCTTCTGGTGTATATCAATATTGCGACTCTATACCAGCGACTCGCTGCTCTTGAGCAACAACGCAGGTTGCATGTGTGACATCCCTCGGAGCGGTTAGGTCGACTCAAGGGTCAATGTCCGAGGGCTGAGACGGAAACATGCAGCTTGCAAGAAAGGGTAACTCACGAGGGTCCCATTCAATATCGCGAGGGTACGATATGCGAGGCCAGGCACACTCAAGGAGGCTGGAGCACCACCAGCACCACTGCATCAGTACTCCGTACCAAGCACAAGCATCTAGCAGAAGCAGAAGCAGAAGCAGAAGCACGAGCCTGTCTGTCCCGAGTCGTCGGGCGAGTTCCGGATATTGCCCAATGGTCCTTGCTGACAAAAAACCGGCTCCGAGTGGGAGAAGCATCTTCTCGAGACAAAAGCAGAAGAGCATGCATACTGGGCCCCCCTCTAGGCTCTACCAACCTATCCCCAAATCGACAACTCCATCGTGGCCTTGTGTCTCCTTTCCCTGCCTTCTTGGCCTTTTCCATTCCCCTCAAAAAGCAAAAAAAAAACAACACAACGCACCCCCTGATGCCGTTTCTCATCGCTGTGCTTGACGTTACACGGCACTGGGGTCTCAACTACCAAGTCCCACCGATCACCGTCCTGAATAATTACCTTGACGTCGTTCATCGCGGGCGAGGCTCCGTCAGTACCGAGCCTCTGGGGCCCTCCTTCCTGGCAACTGGGAACAAGGCATCTTGGACACCGGACAAAGATTGGGTAAAAATTGGAGTTGCACGTCAAATGATGACGGGCGAGCAGAAAAAGATCCCAAGAGGAGAAGGCTCACATTACGAACTCTTAACGTATCTGCCTCTGTGGACTCTATTCGCAGGGAACTGCTTTAGCTCCAGTGGATGCATTTCCAGAGAACCCAGTCCACACAGTCCACACATAGTATCCAGCCATTTCCCTACTCGACGAGTACGCCGGGATTTCGAAGGGAAAGGGGTGATCCCAGCAGAGACACGTTTTCCACAACCGTTTGTGGGCTCCCAGAAGCGTTGCGTCCACGATACGTACTACGCAACCCACCTGGAAATACGATCACGACTATTGACCGAGAAAAGGAAGAGGAGACGCAAAGGCAGGTTTCATGACACAAACGGGAGGGCTCCGAGTCGAGCTCAACCTCGATTCGGCGTACCGAGTACTGCTGCTGCTCCCCTCTCCATATTACCCTGGCAAGCAAGAAAGAGGCAGCGAGGCTGTGCTTGCATACATATCGAAAATCGTGGGACTAGGGAGGGGGTAAGCTGTGAGGTTCCGCGATTCAGAGGATCATTTCCCAGGATCTTGCAAATCGCAGGCGTCTTCCCGATTCCCCGAAGGCATAATACCGAAGGAAACTCAATATTCGACGAGGGGAGATGAGCATGTTCAGTGGGTGGGAACGGCAAGATACATCGCGGTGACAAAAACCCTCCGAGGGAACTGAATAATGTGCTTTTCCATGATCCTGGCTTCCTGGTCGAACACAACCTGACCGAGCGGATCCAGCAGTCTGGAGTCTGCCGTCCACCGCGCATGCTGTCATACAGAGTCCACTTAAAGGGGGGGGGGGAGAAGGGGTGAAGTCCGGGTGTTTCCTGGAAGTTACTCTTCTTCTTCCAAGAACGAAACAAGTGACGATCAGCATCCTTCGTGCCCTTCGTCCAACCTTCATTCCAGCAGATAGATGAAACCACCTCGTCGTAACTTCGTAAGCCCAGTACCAACCATGCGTACTGACATCAACTCTGTCCCGCCCAGTCCTCTCTACACGATCTCGGCTGGTCTAGCGTTCAAACTGCCCGCTCCACCCCCCTTCGTATATTGAGGAGAACGCGTCCTCGCTGGCCGACTTCGCGGACTCATGCCTCGAGATCTCCCGTGGGCTCCCCCTCTTTCGGCACCCACTAAGAACCCAGGCATCGTGGCATCCCAACGGTCCAAGGCTCGCCTCCCACATGAAGTCAACGTTCATTCCCGCTTGGCACAGGTAATATGGCGCGATGCCCACAAAGCCAAAGGAGCCGGAGAGCGTCGACTCCGCAGGAGGCCCCCTTCTCACCTTGCGCCTAAGCATTTTGGCCCCCCATCTCTGTGAAGATCCTTGACACCACCTCCTTCGTGCCTACGGGGAAAGGGGATGGGGCAAACTGGAAGTATCCGTATGGAAGACGCCGCATATGCGCTCCGTGGCTGCCGTACCAGAGATCACTTGGGTGATCACCAACGCATGGCCATGGGTGTGTCGGAAAAGTAACCAGCACGTCAACCCCCATCAGTCCGGTCCCCGCCTCTTTTCACTCTCCTCCTGCAGACATCTCATTACGCATCCACGTTGCTCTCCTATATCGCTGCCGCCGCTCCTTCTCCTGCTCCTTGGCCATACCTTTTACGATGATAGACTCCGCTGGAATGCTTCAGGACAAGACTCGAGTCGTTAGCCCAGGAGGTAAAATCACTCAGGACGAGACACCCGTTGGCAATGATTAAGCAAACAAGAGGGGCATGTACTCCGGTACTCCATACGTGAAGATGGATGGATGCTCCGCCGAGAGGCTCGTGATATGCAGCGGTGAAGTAGAGAATCCACCACCCGCAGACACGCGAGAGAGCCGGACGGAGTTATCCTTCCACCTTCCAACCTTCTATCCTCCCCTATCAGCCATTTTCTGTCATCTACAGGCCTGTAGGGCCAGTAGAGAGCAGAAAAAAAATGTGACAGCCCACAAGGTGCGATCGTGCTCGCAAATCTTCGCTCGTAAAGAGGGACCCCTCGACCTCGTCTTGGTTTCGGCCCATTGGCCTCTTCCAGTCACAGGTCTCACTGCCGGCCGCGGTATTCGCAGGATATAGCCTCATCCACTTTTACTTGCCTGCCTGTTTTGCCAACATGCCCTGCCTCCAACTGGCTCGGTCTTTCAGAGGAAGTGGAAGGGGGGTCTCGTTCAAAGTTGAGGGTGGGGGCCAAGAATCTCGACGGCCTCTATCCCGTATGCTATCCATACCTCTCTTTCTGTTACCATCGCTTCTTGTTTGGTTGTTCTTCTTCGAATCACTGCCACGCCTCCTGGGGGTTCAACAACCAAAGTCAGTCTTGCAAGAAAGCTCAGATTGTCAAAAGATCCCGTCACAACGCCCTTACATGCTCCCAATTACCGCGGCCGCAGGCGCCACAATCAATGACTCCATGCTTCGAACCTGGAGTCTAGAAGCCTTAGTGTCATGGCAACGTTTACAGGGCTGGCGACGTAGAGAGTGATTGGCGGGAGATGTAAGGCGCGTGTGTGTCTGTGTGGTGGCATTTCCATACGTTCCAATAGTCAGCAGCCACACGGCAACAAGCCGAAGCGACGCGGCAGCAGCAAGTTCGCAACCCCCAAAGAAGAACCCGGACCAACGAGACATTTACATCCCGTCAACGGCGGATAGCGGGCGGCCGGCGCGGGCTGAACGGTTCAGGTTGTCAATGGTAAAATTCCAAGCTCAACGTTTTCTGCGCCCGCTGCTTCAATACTTCCCCAATCCCGCCTGTTGTCTTCCGACGTCTCCCCATTCCTTCGAATAGGGGGAGACAGGAGGATGATGAGGAGGAGGAGGGCAACTGTAATGACCATGACCGGAAACCGTAACACGGCCCGAGATTAGACTGCTCCCCGTGCTGAGGCAAAGCACAAAGAGGTGTGGTGATTCCCTCACCATGCACGTCCGCGGTTGGTGGCGATCCTCTTGGTCGTCCGTCGAGCCCAACCCGTTCCCGTCCCATGAATGGTCACCGTTCAAATGTCGTTTATCCCCCCCCCCCTTTCCCGCGCCGCTGTGCCGCAGACGCGCTTTCTAGCCTGGCCAGTTTGAAAGATCGACCCGGAAAGGGGTCATACGGCGCTCCGAGCTTTCGTCGTAGGAAGCGGCTACGCGGCTGCGGGTTCCCCTTGACGTGTCCCCTGCGCAGTGCATCACCGGCATGCTGCTGCTTGTCAAGCTTGGGTCTGGTTGTCGTTTGGTTTCTTTCTCTCGAGCTCTCCCTTTGGCTGCTTTGCGCGTTTATCCCGGTCCTTAGACGTGGGAATGTATGCATATGGGACGTCTAGTCTGGGGTTCAGCCTGGGTCAGCAGCTAATGTTGGCGGTCGATCATCCAGTTCAGTTCAGTCCAGTCCAGCAGCAGCAGCTCTCAGACCGTATGATACCCACCCCCTCCCCTTGGAAGGCAGAAGGAAAAAGCAACAAAGGGCGAGATATTGCCCACTCTCTCCCGAATTGCCCTACAGCGGACGTGCCCGTACATGCAATCTTTTTTGAAAGCATTGTTTGCTTCCCGCGGTGCTCCGTGCCCTGTAAATGCACGCTGCATGCGAGCTGCTTCATGCAGCTTGCAAGACCCAAGAAACGAACGTTTTGGCGATCCCGCAACGCGGACGTCACTTCTGTTCTCGGTAGGGCCATCCGGGGAAAAAGAAACGTCTTCTCAGCCGGAGAGACACTGGAATGTCTCGACTAGAGCGGAAGAACGTCCGGGGTTTGTTAGTTTCGTAGGCTCCTGCTGAGCCATTGTCTCTCTTACTCTCTGTGTCACTCTCTCAGTCTCTGTTCCCTCTGTTTCTGCCAACTAACTTGCGAGACAGAGCCAGCGACCATGGGGTTGAGGTGGGATAGCCAAGGACGATATACATGGATTTTCGTAGGATGTTTCTCGACCACGAAGCGAAGAAGGGGCCAAACCGCTCCCTCGTGGGCGCGGATGTTCTAGCTGCCGTTGTGGCTTGCCCTTCGAAGCTCACCAGTCTAGACTAGAAGCCGTCGCTACTTCGCGTGGCTTGAGACACCGCGTTTAGAAGAACTAAATGCCTTTCTTCGCCTGAACCCTACGTTCAACGTAGATCGCTTCCAGCCTAGCTCTTCTCTTCTTTTGATGATCGATTTGGTCCTTGGTCCTTCAAAAGAACGCCAGTACGGCTATCGTTTGACTGCAACGGGGGGAACGGGGGACCACGGAATGTCGACGTTCCCCTTGCTCATCAGCTCATAAGACAGGTGTTCGTTAGTTTTTGACGAGCTAAGACAACACGAAAAGAATTGGCCCGAGCCCGTTTCTCTGTCCCCCCAGAAACCTAATCTCCAAAGTCCGAGAGACGAGATGCGATACTGTAGCACCAATCTAGATCGCGATCACGAACGATGTGATAAATCTGGCCGCAGCCCCTCCGAAAGCGGTAGCCTTCTTCCTTGGTAGCTAAAGCAAAGCAAGCGCAATGTAAAACCCCCTTGTCTGACCCTGAACTTTTGGGGTATCATTCATCGGAGGACTATTCCAAGTTGGACTACCACTTCGTCAGCTCTGCCCTTCCAAAGTGTCTCAAAATCGTTGACAACACGGCAGGAACATAGTGTGAAAGAAAGAAAAGAACACACCTGCCCGCCCGCTGAGCCTCCCGAAGTTCCGCCCGCGCCTGTTTCGTCCTGGTCCTGCTGCTTGCTCTGGACGAGCGGAGGACGAGTGCTTGTTTCTTCTTTTCGGGGCTTTTCAAGGACCAAGGAATCAAGCTGCGTCTCTCTCCCGCAGACGGGATCTCTCTGTGCCCGGTGCTTTCATGATTTTCTCGGTTCCCCGGTATGCAAGATGGGCTTGCTGGGGGTCTCAGGCAGGTCGCCGATGGTTGATGTGGGCGTAAGGGGGTGTGTAAAGGTTTGGGTGGCAGTAAGCGAAGATGAGAAAAAGCAAATATATCAAGAAAACACCAAGCCTAAACCGCACTGGCCCCAACATCATGAGCTGATGAACGAACCATACACGGGTAGAAGCTGGGTTCAGCTTGTGTTCCGATACCATGTCACCGTGAACAGAACCCCCCGGCGCGCGGACAAGTGGAGAGCAAAGACGCCGAGGGCAGGATAGAGAGAGAGAGAGAGGGCATTCGGAAAAGCAAAAGCACATATCTAGATCCGGAATACTCCCCCAAACCACCCGCAGAAGCAGTGCTCAGAGTGATGACGGCGACAATATCTCAGTCACCAGCAGCAGGGAATACCCCCTCCGTATCCGTCCCGCCTGCCGTCGAAAAGAATAAGTAGGTGAAGCTAATGCAGCAAATGCCCGCAATCACGTACGTCGTCCATCATGTCTGTCTCAGCGCCATGATGACCGCGCATCGATGATCAGCAAACGTACTCAAGCGCGGCCCCATTCCTACCTACCTTCTCCTAGGCTCCTCCCCCCGTTTCCCTCCGTGCCTCCCACACCCCGTTCCCCGTGGCCGCCGTGCCGCTTCCCCCCTCACATATCACATAACCCCTACTGATCCTCCTCACAGCGCATCGCCTAGCGTGGAATAGACACTCTGGCCAGCAAGAAGAACGCACGCTTATGCGGATGCGGACCGGTGTCCTCTGAGACATGCAGGCCGGTAAAGACCCGGCACTCGGGCAAACCCCCCTTCAATCCCTCCCTCTATCACATCACGGACGTCGAATTGAAACATCAAAAAGCTTCCTTTGTCATATAAAGTGATGAGATCATCATGAACAGCCGGCTTGCTAGGACAGGTTCGTCGTCTAATCGGTGAGTTGTAATAAACTCTGCGCTATTAT